GTTACAGTACGTAACCAACATTCTATTTCGTATAGGCTTCGCCCTTTAAGGCTGTCGCTGGTGGGTTAAAGGCGAAGCGGGATGTAGTCTATGCCTCACTGGGTCCACACAGACACAACATGAAGCACCTGCTTGCACAAAAAAAATTTTCATCACTCAGCTTTCTGTGTGCGTAATTATGTGCTGCGTAATTGCGTGCTCCATGCGCAGGAGCACACCGGAGAAGTTTCGGTGGAGGCTGCAGCTGTCGTGGAGAAACACGTTTACTCCCACTGTGCTGTGAGTGGGCAGAAAACAGCAGAAATTAAAAATGGGCTCTGGCTGAAAAACTAGGGATTTTACCAGACTCGGTTTTCTGAAAAAACATCATTTTAGCTGACGTGGCAGACGAGTGTTTTGTGATATTTATTGAACTGCAGTGCCTTTTAAAACACTGTTTAGAGGTTACTTGCTTGTTCTGTGTGGGAATGTGTGAAGAGACGCAGCTGAGAGATCAGCTGATCTGAAAATCTCAAATGAAAAACATTACTTTCAGAGGTGTTTCTGTTTATATCATAAACATACATCATCAAAAAACACATACCTTCCCCTCAAGGATCTGTTACCTGGTGGAGGGGGCCCGCGGGGCGTGAAGTTGCTGCCGCAGCTGTGGAGCGCCTCTGATGCTGTTGCTGGCCAAGGCGATCCCTCCAGCGGCCGGAGGGGCAGATGGACTGTGACGTCACCAGATGGTGTACAGTCTCTGAGACCTCCTCGGACCTCTGCGATTCCTCAAGGATGGTCCTGAAGTTGGCCCCAAACAGCGCCTCTGGGGTGATGGGGCCCTCTAGCAGGTCTTTCTGCAGCCTCTCGGACAAGGATGGCGAGAGGCGGAGCCAAGTGGTTCTCCGGATCATGGTCATTCAGGCGGCGATGCGGGACAGGCAAATAGCAGAAGTGGCACATGTTTAAGATGACATCAGCAGCTTTACGCAGGTCTGCTTCTTCCAGCCTCTTAGATGCTGTAGGCCAGCAGGGCGACGTTGTTGTTCGCTGCGGCCGTCTGGAATGAGCACTGGTGAGCTCGGTTGGAGACCTTGCCACCATCTGGTCATGCTTCCCTGGAGGGACAAGTTTCTGGTCCATCCTGGAAGCTTTTGCCCTAAGTGCCACCGCCAGGCTTGGCTCCGGGGGGGAGGGGACAGAGGGAAAAACACTGATCGGTAAAACCCTCCACTCTGGAGATGGAGGCGAAGGTGGAGACAACTGTCTTCAGCTTGCCAGCCCAGCTGCAGCCTCGTTCCAGTGTGACGTCACAGCTGGACAGCGAGGCCAGATGGGGTCAGGGCGACAAGCCCGGGCGGAGCCAACCTTGCTGCCAAATCATTCGATCAGGGCGGAGGAAGGCGAGGGACGGAAAGTCCCTTGTGTTAACATCCTCCTAAATTATGCCGGGCAGCTCCGAGAGGAGGGCACCGATGGCTGGGAGCGGTGTGATCGCTGACATGGGAAGATCTGAGGTGGCTGAGCATCCGCTCGGCCACTCGTCTTCCGTCACAACGCTCTCCAGGAGGGATGGGGCAGCTCCGCATCGCCTTTCTCGGAGGAGTCATTCGATTCATAATAAAAAGGGGTATCCAAGTATCTCATTAATAGACAGCTATTAATGAGATACTTGGCTTGCCATACAAAAGCCACCTTCATCTCACTCCAGAACTCCTGGAACTTCATTTTGCTGGGCCGCCCAGGCAAAATGCAGCTGATTTGACCATAACAGTGCATTTATTAAGGAAAAGTTAACTTGAGACACACCTATAATGTCGAGCAAATAAATAATTGTTTTAAGGTGGTTATCTTGTTAAATTTCAAATTAATGCACAGTGAGTCCTCCCTCTGCGCGCCCCAGTAGCCACAAATCGATTTTTGAAATGAAGCTTTTTTAACCATTAAAATGCATTTATTAAGGAAAAGTGAAACTAAGACACACCTTTGCTATAATGTTGAGCAAACAAATTATTGTTTTTAAGTGTTAATCTTGATAAATTCTTGTTAAAGTCCTCCCATGCACGCTCCCGTGGCTGTCATTTAGCAGCCAATAGATTTTTGGCGCACTGGCCCATGTTTCTGGGTGGTGACGCATAATAGATGTGACTTATACAGCGAAATGACATATTTATGTATTTTTCCAATTTATTAGACATAAATGGACTCTGTCAGGAGACAGAGGGAGAAGAGGAAAGTGAAAAATCTAGGACTGAGGGTTGCAACTCTAAATGTGGGGACAATGACAGACAAAGGTAGAGCTGGCTGACATGATGCATAAAGGTAGATGTTTTATGTGTCCAAGAGACCAAGTGGAAGGGCAGCAAGGCTCTCAGCATTGGAGCAAGGTTCAAACTGTTTTACCATGGTGTGGATAGAAAGATAAATGGAGTAGGGGTGGTCCTGAAGGAGGAGTTGGCAAATAATGTAGTAGAGGTGAAAAGAGTGTCAGATAGAGTGATGTGTCTGAAGGTAGAAGTAGAAGGTCTGATGCTAATCATCATCAGTGGTTATGTTCCACAGGTTGGATGTGATGAGGAGGAAAAAGATACATTTTGGAAAGATCTGGATGAAGTGATAGAGAGTATTCCCAGGGAGGAGAGAGTGGTGATTGGAGCAGACCTGAATGGACATGTTGGTGAAGGAAACAGAGGGGATGAGGAAGTGATGGGTAGGTTTGGTGTCAAGGAAAGAAACCAGGAAGGACAGATGGTGGTGGATTTTGCAAAGAGAATGGAAATGGCTATAGTCAATACCTATTTCCAAAAGAGGGAGGAACATAGAGTGACCTATAAGAGTGGAGGAAGGAGTACGCAGGTCAACTACATTCTGTGTAGAAGAGGAAACCTGAGGGAGACTGGGGATTGTAAGCTTGTGGCAGGGGAGAGCGTGGCCAGACAGCATTGGATGGTTGTGTGTAGAATGACTGTTTTTGTGAAAAAGCGTCAAATCAGAGAAGAAGACCAAATGGGGGAAGCTGAAGAAGGAAGAATGTTGTGAGAAATTCAGAGAGGAGCTGTTAAAGGCTCTGGGTAGTAAGAAAGAGCTTCCAAATGACTGGGCTACTAGAGCAACAGTAATTAGAGAGACAGATAGGAAGGTACTTGGTGTGTCATCTGGACAGAGAATGGATGATAAGGAAACCTGGTGGTGGAATAGTGAAGTGCAGGATGCCGTTCAAAGAAAGAGATTAGCCAAGAAGAAATATGACAGTGAGAGGACTGAAGAGAGGAGACAGGAATATAAGGAGATGGGACGTAGAGCAAAGAGGGAAGAAGCTAAGGCAAAGCAGAGAGAGTACGATGACTTGTATGGGAGACTAGGGCGTGAAGGACTTGTACCGATTGGCAAGACAGAGGGATCAGTCTCGAAAGGATGTGCAGCAGGTTAGGCTTATTAAAGATAGGAATGGTAATGTTCTAACAAGTGAGGAGAGTGTAAAGGGAAGATGGAAGGAGTACTTTGAGGAGCTAATGAATGAAGAGAATGAAAGAGAAAGAAGAGTAGAGGTCATAGAAACTGTGGACCAGGAAGTGGGAAAGATTAGTGAGGGTGAAGTCCAGAAAGCTCTGAAAAGAATGAAGAAGGGGAAGTAAGTAGGACCTGATGACATACCAGTGGAGGTCTTGAAATGTCTTGGAGAGATGGCAGTGAGGTTTTTGACTCAAATATTCAATGGCATATTTGAGGGTGAGAAAATGCCTCAGGAATGGAGAAGAAGTGTGCTGGTGCCCATTTTTAAGAACAAGGGTGATGTACAGAGTTGTAACAACTACAGGGGAATTAAGTTGATGAGTTACACGATGAAGATCTGGGAGAGAGTTGCGGAAGCAAGACCTAGACGAGAGGTGACTATCTGTGAGCAGCAGTATGGTTTCATGCCAAGAAAGAGCACCACAGGAGTGGGAGTGATTCTGAACAGGAGCAGGACAGGAGCAGGAGTCATGTTACCAGGAGTGGGACAGGACAGGATTATTTATTTTTTTACTCTGGACCAGGATTGGGAGAGGACAGGATTTTTTTCTGTGGGACCAGGACAGGACAGGAGTAAAAATCCACTCCTGTGTCATCCTCTAGTAGGTAGTTTGTCCCTTCCACGCCCCCGTTTCCTGTTTATCGTTTCCGCCCAAGTAGGCGAGGTGACAGCGGCACACTCAAACACTCATACTGTGGCCGACCACTAGGGGGCTTCACTCACACGCAGATGTCAGGATGTTTTGTTTTTTAAAATATGTAGAACAAATTACATATGCAAAATGTTTTTTTTAAATCAGCGCTTAAAAGTATGTTATTCAAAATGTTTAGCATAATTTTACTGTTGTTCATGTGTAATGCCATCATAAATGTATGTTTTATACTGTTTAACAACAACCTCTGTTTTACACAATGTGGTGGGTTGCCAGTTGGGCTTGTTTTCATACAGTTGGTTGCTTGTTTCTATCGCGAAATCTGGCAACACTGGCGGCGACACCAGTCCCAGAGACAATTTCCAGCCTGGAGGCAGCGAGGGTACAATCATGAAAATAAGTTTTCCAGCAAGACAGACGGGAGCTCATCCAAAACGCAGCTCACATGTCCGGTGCCATGTTAGTTCTCCTTAATTAGCTGTTTTGAACTCCAGATTAAAAAAAAAAGTTGTTTTATAAACATGCAGTTTGAGCGACTGTTGTTGGACCATTGCTGTTGCCTAAATTTTAGTAATATGTGTATCGAATATGGCATTCCAATAAATGCCAAGGAGCTGTTTCTACAGTTTGCTGTGATGTGCGTGTCATGTTTTAAATTGTACAAAATGCTTTTGTATCTATTCTTGCACAACTATTTCTGTGACTGTAATTGTATCCCTGCAAACACATGACACACCAGTTTATTTCTGCTCTACCTAAACTCTCAGACTCGGGCTTGTTTCTGTTGGGTAAACGGTGTACACACTTTAGCACTTTTACATGAACTTTTATAATGGTGAGCATGATATTTGAATGGAAGGACCAACTCAGAGGTTGAAGGTGCTCCTCTTCTTGGCTTTTTTCTTTGGAGCAGCAGGGTTTCTCTTCACGCTGCTCTCCTGGGGTACAGAGTACTGGCTGCTGGCTGCGGAGTCCTGCAGCCAGACAGAAAACCAACATGGAGGTCTGAGACTGGAGAAAAACACCAAGCAGGTATTAAACTCTACAGGTACAACATAAATGTGTTGAGTGCTGATTGACTCAGGTGCTACCACGTCAACTTTTACCTCAATATATAAAACGACTTAAAATCATTTTTGTGTTGACTGAGGTGAGTTAGCTGTGACAGCCATCTTGAATTGCACTAACTGCCAGAAAGTTGCCGTAAAATACAGTGGTGCTTGACAGTTTGTGAAGACTTAAGAATTTTCCATATTTCTGCATAAATATGACCAAAAACATCATCAGATTTTCACAAAAGTCCTAAAAGTAGATAAAGAGAACCCAGTTATAATGAAACATAAATATGGTCATTTATTTATTGAGGAAAATTATCCAATATTACATACTTGTGCGTGGTAAAAGAATGTGAACCTCTAGGATTAGCAGAGTGATTTTTGACATTTTGAATTCAAGTTAAGTTTGCAGTTGTAAAATTATTATTATTTGAAGTTGTCAAATTATCAAGAAGATGATCTAAGTCACTGCTCTCTGATGTTCTCACTCTGCAAGACAGAGGAAATCGATGGAAGGGAATCTTTGCATTTGGTTACAGCGTTTTCTGATAAGCACCTGCTAAAGTAAAATTTACTCTCAATGACGGTGTAGTCATTTAATGTAAACTCAATGGTAATAAAAAAAATGGTCAAACACAACAGGATTTTGAGGATTTATTACATTACTAAATTATTAATGTCGATGCCATAAGTCCAAACCAGGTCAAGAGTGTGATAATGAGAATGAGTAGATGTTCGGACATTTTGGGTAAAACCAGTTGACTCTATTAAATTATTAAAGGCTATGCTAGAGCTATCATTTTCAACATGTACATGAATATTGAAATCACCCATTATTATGAATTTATCAGTATTTAGTAGTAAGTCAGTTAAGAAATCTGAGAATTCTGACAAAAAGTGAGCATAGGAGCCTGGTGGGCGATATATAACAACTAGTGAGAGTGGCTGCTCCATTTTCCATTTAGGATGGGACAGACTTGGAGACAGTGACTCAAAAGTACTATAACTAATTGGTTTAGTACTAATTAATAATCCCAACTGAAAAATAGAAGCTACATCTCCGTCTCGACCAGTTGTTCTAGGACCATGAAAATTTAAATAATTAGGTGGAGTGGATTCATTCATACTAACAAAATCTTCTAGTTTTGCCAGGTTTCTGTCAGACAGAATAAATCAATATGATGATCAGTTATTGACTAACAGGGATTTAGAGGAAAGAGATCTGATGTTCGATAGTCCACATTTAATTATTTTCTTCTTGTAAAGTTGTGTTTATTTTAAAAAGATTTTTACGATTTATACTTTCAGCGCCGGTTTTTGGTTTATTTAATTTGAGCCGTGGGTGAACTGGCACTGTTTCAATGGGGGTTTTGGGTCAAGTAGGTATCTCTGCAGACAAATATGGAAGGCATATCTGGAGAGCCACATCTGATTGGACGATAAGAAAAAAAGGCGTATCTGGAGGGCCACATCTGATTGGACGATAAGAAAAAAAGACGTATCTGGAGGGCCACATCTGATTGGACGATAAGAAAAAAGGCGTATCTGGAGGGCCGCATCCGATTGGACGATAAGAAAAAAGGCCTATCTGGAGGGCCGCATCCAATTGGACGATAAGAAAATAGGCGTATCTGGAGGGTCGCATCTGACTGGATGATAAGAAAAAAAGGCGTATCTGGAGGGCCGCATCTGATTGGACGATAAGAAAAAAGGCGTATCTGGAGGGCCGCATCCGATTGGACGATAAGAAAAAAAGGCGTATCTGGAGGGCCGCATCCGATTGGACGATAAGAAAAAAAAGGCGTATCTGAAGGGCCGCATCTGATTGGACGATAAGAAAAAAAGCGTATCTGGAGGGCCGCATCTGATTGGACGGGGAAAAAAACAAGGCGTTATTGGCAAATTGTGTTAACCACAGGCATATTATTGTCTATGGTGTCGATCGGTTCGACATTAGCGGCTTCTCCATAACTTCTCTTTCCACCTCTCTTAACACAGAACGTCTGGGTACGTTTCAAAATAAGAGCAACATAAATGGATAGTGGGGAGGTCTAAATGTTTGTTTTTTAATACCTAGCCATTTAATTAAAAAACAAAATCCGTTTTGCTTGTTGAATAATGTGAAAACAGTTACAATTGATTAATAAAGAAAGAAAAATAAAGTAACCAAAATAATAATGATACTTAAACTGGCATTGGGACAAAGGATGTTTCCTTTAACTTCACATTTTCTTGTTCAACCTTTTAAATCAGTCACTGCAGATGAGTCAGTTTCTGTAAGATTTCTATAAGTGGAGCAGCTATTTCTGTTTACTGGTTAACTTCCTCAGCTGTCTCACATTTTAAGTCAATCCTACTTCATGTTTCAGCTCCTTTCATAGATCACATCTCATAGAAGACACTTCTAAAGAGCAACTTTTTGTTTTTAGCATTTGTTTTGGGCCATTATCTCGTTACAGGACTCATGATCTTTAATTGAGACCAGACTTTTTGAAAAAAAGGAGCAGGTTTCGCTTCAGATGCTTCATATTTCATTGTACCCAGAACACATTCAAGCCAACCTGTGTCAGGTGCAGCTACAACCCAAGAACAAAAGAGAAGCTTCTTGTGTTTGACAGCACATATAACGCTGTTTCTTAGAAACCATCAGTTTAATAAAAAAAGAGCGGACATAACTTACCTAAAGAGCCAGAAATACAGCTAGCCAATCAGTGTTTGCCCTTTAGAAACGCCTATTCTCCAGAAACACCCACTTTTGGTCTGCAGAGAACCCCTTCTTGTTTGGGTAGGTAACAGAGGAGAAGCAGCAGAGAGGTGTGGAAGAGTACAACTCTGCTTCCTGGACTCTTGGTTGTCAATAATTTGGATGTCCAACAGAATCAGCCAAATTTCTAGAAAGAAGAGCGGCACCCCACCAAAGTGGGATGGATGCCATGATGACCAGGATTTACCCAAAAAGAACTCCATTTATCTACGTAGTCTACATTTCTTTCTAAATCACATGTACAGCATAAACACCAATATCCACAGCTGACATAGATGTTACATTCTACTTTATATTTTATTTTAATGTCATTTGATGCTGTCTACACTCTGTGAAGCTTGTAAAATGAAACATGGCTTGCATACAACACACTGCATTTATTATATTTCCTTTTTTGGAAATATATAAGGGGTCTAATACAATTTCATGTCAAGAATTTACTAAAACAAATGCTCCATAACAAAAAAAAAAATTGTTTTAATTTAACCAGTTTCTGTTATTAAAATGTGATTTATAAACTGCGTGGGAAGAAAAAGTGTTATACGGCAGCAGCTGTGTTAATCAGCTCAAGTGTTCTTGTCCAGGTCCAGACTGTAGATGGTGCGAGGATCTTCCACGAGGGTTTGTTCAGGCGCTGCGTCTTCAGAACCGTTAGCTCAGATTTTGCTATAATGGACTTCTGGATCAGTGAGTATTGTTAAATAAAGTGGTCATCCAGATCTTTTGATGTTGTATTCTGTCACTGTCAATTAATTTCTTATAGCACATAAAAACAACAAAGTGCTTTACAGTTTAGTCCGATTAAAGAGTAAAAAATACATCTTGTGCCACTCAAAAAACATAAAGTTAACAATAAAATACAACGCACAACAACAGTAAAAATCAGCTCTAACTTGTTCTCAGACTGCGTGGATCAAATGCCGAGGAAAACAGATGAGTCTTGAGCAAAGATTTAAAAGTCTCAACAGTCTGAGCGGTCTTTAAATGATCAGGTATACAGATTTTTTTTTTTACAAATTAAAATACGATGGCAAAAAAAGTGGCAAAAACTAGATTATAATATATAGATTATATATCTTCAGTTTGGATCTGGGGATATTTAGGAACTGGTTGGTATACCAGAGTGCTCTTACAGGAGTATAGTTAATAAGATCACACAAATAAGATGAAGCCAGATCTTTTAAGACTTTAAACTCAAACAATAAAATCTTAAAATCAGTCCGGAAGTGGACAGGGGTTATGTGATCGTGTTTTTTGGTCGCTGTTAAAAGACAAGCTGCTTTGTTCTGGACAGTTTGTAAGCGATGTAGAAATGATTTATCTAAATCAACATGCAATGAATTACAATAGTCCAAACGAGAGGTAATAAAAGCGTGAATCACCTTTTCAAGGTCTCTGAAAGGGATTCAGTTCAATTCAATTCAGTTTATTTATATAGCGCCAAGTCACAACAGAAGTCATCTCAGAGACAAGACTTCACCTTGGCAATGAGTCTTAGCTGGAAGAAACTGGATTTCACAACTGCATTTGTCCGTTTGTCTAATTTAAAAGCACTATCAAAAATAACTCCCAGATTCCTGACAGTGGAGTGGCTGTATGAAGCCAAGGAGCCAAGAGTGTCAAGGGTGTTACATTTACCAAAGCTGATGACTTCAGTTTTATTTTCATTTAGATTCAGGAAATTTAGTTTTGACCAAACAGTTCAAGAATGGTTTCAGTGGAGTGACCTTGTCTGACTCAATGGGAAGATACGACTGAATGTCATCAGCAAAGCAATGAAAAGGGATGTTGTGGTTTCTAAAAATGGACCCAAAAGGCTTCAGGTAAAAATAATAAAACAGTGGACCTAAGATAGACCCTTGAGGGATCCCACAAATTAGAGGATCTTTAGATGAAGAACATTCCCCTAAATGAACAGAAAAACTCTTGTCAGTCAGGTAGGCTCTAAACCAGGACTGTGCCTTTGATACCGACCACCTGCTCAAGTCGTGACAACAAGATGTTCTGGTCCGCAGTATCAAAGGCAGCAGAAAGGTCTAAAAGCACTAAAACTGCAGAGCAGTGCATCAACGGTTAAAAAAAGGTCTGTGTAATTATAAATAAAATTGTAAGTGTTGTAGATAGCTCTTTAAATGAGCTAATGTCTAGTCTGAGTGCAACAAAGACCAAATGGATTATAGTTGTCTTAAATTACCTTCGAGTTTAATTTTATAGTGGCTCATGCAAATGTTGGTATACAACCATCAAGTTAACATTACATAGTTATTTATAAAAATGAAAAAATACTGTTATTACAATTTACATAGTAGTAGATAGATGTAAGACTGCAGTAGCTGGCAAAAGTATACACTTTAATAGCAGTAGTACTGTTTTAAATAGCTAGATGTTACAGTAGTCATAATAGCACTGGCTATAACACTAAAAACAGAAGAAAAATATTCTTGCTTTATCGTACTTACTCAAAAGGAACCACACTCGACAGCAGGAGAATATTTTTAATCGGTATTTACTTTTAAGGTCAGATTTTCAGGACAAGTTACATGATACATGTACACACAAGAAACCAAGTCACGAGACTCTACCGCGAGCTGTCTCCCCAGCCTGTTTTTATACTTTAATCAGTTTAGCCGAGTTCGTAAAGTGCAGGAGGTGTCCTTGGAGCCAGCTTCATGCTGCAGCCTCATCCAGCTTTCTACTAACCAAACATCTGGTTCATGGGCAGTTAACATTCTCAGCCGTAGTAGTTAAAAACATCTGTAACCTTTGACCAGTTTCCCTAACAATATCAGCCTACATAGCAGTGGCTAGCTTTAACACTAGCCTGGAGGATGTGGTAGCTTGGTGGTCAGTGCCATGGTTTTGTAATCCTGAGGTTGTGGGTTCAAGCCCATGTTGTGTCAGGAAGGGTGTCTGGCATAAAACAAATTGCCAAATCTTTTATGCGAGTTTGCTCGCTGTGGTGACCCCTGAAAAAGGGAGCAGCTGACCGAACTTACCTAGCTTATCTTAACGATAACACTAAACCAAATAGCAGTATGTGGCTATAGTATTAGATTTTTATTTTTTTAAATACCATTTTATTTTCACTTCTCAATTTGAATGCATTGTTTATGATTGTCTATTGTTGTCCACTGTTGTCATCACTCTTTGTTAAAATTCAGGTCTCTCTTGTAAACGAGTCCCCGAGGCTCAATGGGATTAACCTGTATAAATAAAGGATGGATGGATTAATTGTAGTAATTCTAGCCTAAATAGCAGTAGCTGGTTGTAGCACCTGTGGCACTTTCAAAAAGACTGTTCTGGCAGAATAGCTATGATTCGAAATTAAAATTTCTAGGTGGCGCTCTTGATCCGTTTCTGTTGCGATTTTTGCCACGCCCTTAAAATACGTAATTTTTCACCAGTCCTGATGCGTCCACCAAATTTGGTGACTTTTGGGATATGTTAAGGCCCCCAAAACGCCAATTCATTTGGAGGAAAAAATTGCAGCTCGGGCCTGAACAGAGCGATTACAATAGACCGCAGCGCTTCGCTGCTCGGGCCTAATGACAGCAATGTAATGGTGTTCACTTGAACCACTGTGAGACTTGAGATTGGTGATGTTCTCACGTCTTCTAGAATTGCGCCGCTCAAGGTGGCTGCATGTTGGAGCAGCTCTGTTACTTTCATTCTGAGATTTTGCTTTTGGAAACTTTAATTCCTGGTTTTCTGGATGTAAATCACATTTTTTGGATTATTGTTTCCTCTAGTATCAGATGCTGTGCAGCCGTAAGGATTTTTACTGAAACTTTTTAAGTTTTGGACATTTGTTATGATGCGTAACCATGGCAACAAGGCAGTTTTCTACAACAACAGCAGCTGATTAACATCTCAAAACCTCAAATAATATCTCAACTATGGCCCCAACTCTCAAATGAGTTGAAAAGGATGCTCTGTGGACGCATTCTCATCTATCTGCCAGCTGTGCTCGAGTGCCTGACCACTGAGATCCTGGAACTAGCAGGAAACACGGCTCACGACAGCGGGAGGACAGGATCATCCCTCAGCACCTACAATTGGCTGTCCGCAGCAATGAGGAGCTCGGCAGACTGCTGGGAGGAGTGGCCATCACTCTGGGAGGAGTTCAGTCCAGCATTCAGGCGGTCCTACAGTCCAGGGGAACTGAGAGGTCAGCCGAGTCTGGGTGGACGGATCGGACGGCATCTGCAGCCAGTTTCTTAGGATCCACTGTGGGATGGACCTTTACAAGAGATCCTTCCTGTCTACAGCCATCAGCATCTATAACATCTCTTAATGAAATGAGGATAACAAGTTATAACAACAAAATAATTTCCCTTTGGGATTAATAAAGTATTTTTGAATTGAATTGAATAATAGTAGTACCGGTTGTAGCACTTTTAGGTCAAACTATAAATTCTCCAGACTGATGTATCCGTCAATTGTTAATCAAAACTGTATCAACAGCAGGTAAAATCTTATTTGCTCATGATCCATCCACAGATTTGCATTTAAAAAATCTCAACGATCTTTTTAAGTATCAGTTTCATTAAACTAACATGAAACTTCTTAACAACGTTGTTGTTTTTTTCCACTCAGCAAATCAGCCACATTCGAAGGTCTGCCATGCTGCTTACCTCTTCCCGTTTCCTGTTAGTGAACCAGAGTGGGCGGAGCCTTATGAACAGCCCTCTGCCATTGGTTGGTATTATCGGGTGCAGATTAGAGTTACAAATTGAGCCTGTGATGACATCATCTTTCACCTGTCAGTTTTTAGAACGTTCTGGAGCATCTTCCAGGTCACAGGTGTGACTGCTCTAACGATTGGTGGATTTATTGTTCTGTGTGCTGCTCCACTGACCAATCAGAAACTGTACCGAGTGGGCGGAGCTTTTCAAGTTTGTGGCGGTAAGGTTGGACCAGCATGTGAGCCATGTTTTATGAATTTGCTGCTCGTAAAAACGTTATGAAAACTTGTTTATCTAAGTGAAGAGTCATTTTTAAAGGTGCGTTGAGCCCAATAAACTGAATACTGGAAAAGAGACAGAATACCCAGAATACATTAAAGTAGTGCTAAGATCACCTAAAACAACGAAGTCCAAACAGAAATAAAATTATGTGAGCTAAATTTTACTTTGTAAACTTTGGGCATGTAAAAACTATTTTTTTTCTTCACTGTAAAACCCTTTGGATTGCTTTTGACTTGTATGAAAGGTGTAGAAATAAAACATCACTTAACATTTTTCATGATAGAGTTAAGGTCATTTTACGTTGCGGAATCTTGAAGTTGTTGAAAATAAAAAATAAAAATAAAAAACAGACCAAATTTTATCTTCATATCTGTAAAATTGACCAGTTTATTTCCATTTATGTGTTCTTTCAGGTCAGTTGGCTGATGCAGCCATCTTGAATTAGGTTGGCTACAAATGTTTATCAGTGGTTGTGTTGTGTTCAAGACCACCACACCCGAGACCAAGTCAAGACCAAGACCAGAGTGTACTGAGACAAGACCAACACTTTTAGGGTCCGAGACCAAGACCTCAAATAAAATAAATAAAATGTAAAATTTTATTATAAATTGTTTTTTTTTTTATAAAAGTTACATACTGCAACTCTGTTTGCTTTTGAATGAATATATCAGGTTTTATAAATTTTCAAAGCTACGTAACAAAGAAATCAGGCATTCAGTGGTCTAACTTCATGTGATTCAACAATAAAATTACACAACTGTTAAATTGGAAACAGTTTCATCACATGCCAAGTCTTAAAACACTGTAGTGGTAAAACAATCTTCATAAGTCTGAACTCAAGACCAAGGATAACCAGATAGTTGCTCAGTGGTTTCAATAAAGTAGTAGATATACACCTAAAAAGTTACATAAATGGATATTAGTTACAAGTTTGTTATTTAAATAGTTAAATTTTATAACTGATGATATGGCAGACATCTTCTCCTGCGCCCAGACAATCATTTCTCACTTTCTTGGAGTGACCAGTGTTGCCAGATAGAGTTGAGTTATTTTTTTAGCCCAAATATCTGTTAAAAACCACCACATCACACAAAAATCCACCCAATCAGTATATTGTTAGAGTATATTTACTGTTGAAATATGAACGCACATCAGTACAAGAAAAGCTAATTTAACAATATGTGGCAAAATGCAACAATCCAACAAAAATGTTCCCAGAGTTCCCAGCGAAATCAGAATGAAAACTGCCCAGTTAGCTGTAAACCACCCAATCTGGGCACACTGGGAGTGACGCGTGCGAGTGAAAGGGGGTAGGCGTGACAGCAGTAACAAAAAATTAATTTAGCAATGAGTCACGTTGTCACTTGGATTTGAATCAGTCCATTTTGCATCCAACAAAAACAAAGACATTAACAAATAAACTGGACAATATTCTGGCAATTTAGTGATATTTCCACAGTTGTGGTCTTGACTGGTCTTGAAATAAAATCCAGAGTCCTCAATGTCCGAGACCATCAAATAATTGTCTTAAGACCAGCAAATGGTAAATGGACTGTACTTATATCGCACCTTTCTATCTTATCAAGATACTCAAAGCGCTTTACACTACAATCTGTGTCCTCATTTACCCATTCATACAGCACTCTACTAGATCTCTACAAAGCTAATTGAACAAATAATTCTAAAGAGACTAATCAGAGCTTTATCACATTCATACACCGACAAGACACACATCGTAGGCAACGAGGGGTTCAGTGTCTTGCCCAGGGACACTTCGTCATGTGACTGCTGGTGGATTTGAACTCCCAACTCTTGCATTGGAGGACGACTGCTCTAACCACTCAGCCACAGCCGCCCCAAGACCAGTCTCGAGTACTACAACAATAATCAGTGGTACCGTACTTTTCGCTGTATAAGTTGCACCTTTTTGCATAACTTAGCATGCCCTGCGACATATATGGCGAAGCGACTTATTCATGTTTTTTTCCCCACATTTATAACTCAATTTTTGGCTGAGATCTGATAATTTCATTCATTCTGACATGGAAAATATTGAACACTACCATTTTCAGCCACCAGAGGGCCATCATCTACCGTAATATGGCAAGTTAAGTGTCTCATTAATAGGCAAAAGTGGTTATTAATTAGACACTTGGCTTGCCATAGTAAGCCACCTTCATCTCGCTCCAGAACACCTGGAGCAAATGTCAAGTCAGCTTTATTTTGCCACGCCACCCAAGAGAAATGCAGCTGATTTGACCATTAAAGTGCATTTATTAAAGAAAAGTTAGACTGAGACATAACTTTCTATAATGTCGAGCAAACAAATAATTGTTTTTAAGTGTTAATCTTGTTAAATTTTTGTTAAAGTTCTCCGTGCATGCTCCCGCATCCACCATTTGGCAGCCAATTGATTTTTGGTACAACACCGGCCCAAGTTTCTGGGTGGTCAGAGATGGCGCATAATAGATGCGACTAATACGGCGAAGCGATGTATTTATGTATTTTTCAACTTTATTAGACATTTTTGGACTGATGCAACGTGAACGGCGGAAAATACAGTATTTATATCCAGTTATTTCCTAACATTATGGCCCATCTATGCCTGCTGCTGTGAACATAAATAAGGCTTAAGGGCAGTTTTTTGTAAAAAAAACAAAAAAAAAAACAAACCCCAACATATCTGGTAAAGTGCTAAATTCTTTGTAACAATAATCCAAAATTAAACAAAGTTAATGTCAGTGTTTGCTGTCTGTGCACAAAGAACTTTTTTGTTACTTAATACAAACAGAGCATCTGTGAACATCTCGCATGCTTCGTTCAAACTAATAATAGTACAAATTTTATTCTTTCTTCTCGAGACGAGAAAGACAATAATACCTGCTGAGCCACAAAAAACCCTCCCTGCAGTTTTCCAAAGCCGGCAGAGTGAGGACAAAAGATTGAACGTGACGGCGTGACAAAACGAGACAAACAGAGAGCAAGGTGGGGTTGAATTAACGAACGACACGGCGGGGGTTGTGTACGAGCAGCAAAACATCACATCTTTGAGTTCGCTACGCTGAAAAGACACGACTTTTGTCAAAAAGCTTCTTGTGTTTTTAAATGAAATAACATCTAGTTTCTGCTTCTCTTTGTTCGACGTTCCTTTGAGCTTGATGGTTGTTTTTTATGTGTCAGGTGTGTGTCTGCTGGCCGTCGTGGTGATGTATTTGATGTGGGTCCAGGTCCTGAACACTCTGGAGCAGTTTGCCCTACATCACCGAGCCTCCACCTGCCCTTCCTACCACCTCAGTGTCCAGCACGGCCCGTCCTTCCTCCTGGCTCCAGTAGGGGTTATCTTCTCCCTGCTGGCGGGACTCCTCTTCGTTCTTATAGGCCGAAGCGTTCAGGAGGTGGCAGTGGACCGAGAAGAGAAAATCCCTGAATCTTCGACAACTGAACTGTGATTACAGATGATCCGGTCAACGGTAGTAGAAGAACTCTAAAAGTCCAGCATTGTTTAATAAAAAAAAAAAAAAAAAGTTTCAGCATCTACAGGTAAATTTTTTCAGGGGTGATTCACAGATTTTGTCGTTTTCTTAAACGTACAAAACTCACTTTTTTTAGAACCCCCTACAAAAGCATACAGAAAAACGTTGACCCACAAAATCCTCCTTTTTTACAGGTGAAGATGAGACACAGACACGTGCTGACATGCGTATTGTAGCAACTCACAAGTGCTAACAATCACAACCAACTCAAGTGAACAGGATCAGTTTAGAGAACACGTGTCAACCTCAAGGCCCGCAGGCCAGATGTGGCCCGCCACGTCATTTTATGTGGCCCACGAGAGCTTAAAACGTCTGATTATCATATAATAAATAAGTCAAAAGGGTGCACTGACAACAAACTACATTTCCCATAATGCATTCCCATTATGTTACTTGCCAAGTAACAGCATCCCACCACTAGATTACAGTTTTTCCACATCAATATTATTTTCCGAACAAGTGGAATTGAGAAATACAAACAATGATCCTAAATGTCCAGGAAGAGAAAAATTGATGCAGATGGAAGTCTGTTTCAAGAAAGATGGGAAGGTGAACATATATTTGTGCTTCAAGGAGAGAAACCAGTATGTCTTTTGTGTTATGAGGCAGTGGTGATTGTCAAAGAGTACAACGTCGACATTTTGACACCAAAAACACGGAGCTAAGGACACCAAAGTGAGCCTTCAACAATAATGTTGTTGTTTTGAGTTTATTATATTTTGTACTTATTAAATGTAATTTATTATATTGTTAAATTTGCAGCAATGTATTTGGGATTGCAGGTTTATGTGTTTATGCAGCAAATGTTTTCTATAATAAAACCATCTCTCATTAGTTGGACGTATGACCCTTGACTGTGTGCAGTCATTTGTTCTTTATAAAATGCGACATCAGTCACATGTTCTTAGCAGCTCACAATTGTTGGCTGGATCTTTATTCTGCCCCTCTTAACTATGACTAAAAAGTTTTGAACAAAGTTAATGTCATAACTTGTTATTTTCCCTTATTCACTTGGAAGGTTTGATCATTGATTTATGGAGTAATGTTTTATTTATTGATTTATTTATTTATTTACCCAGGTCGTCTCATTGAATCACAAGAACTCATTTTCAAGAGAGACCTGTTTTTGGGAGCAGATGGTGGGGGTTAAGGGCCTTGCTCAAGGGTCCAGAGTGGGGCAAATGAGGGTGGAGGCAGGTGTGGGTGTTTCAACTTTTCCACCCACATTTTGATGATGTCAGTCTGGGGTGTTGAACCTGTGACTTTCTGATCACAGGCCCATCTTCTCTAACAACTGCGCCACCACTTCCCTATGTGGGTTTCATAACCTGGCAAATTAAAATGTTTTATGTTATAACAGAGCAACAAGCAGATATATTTTTCTACATCTATGCAAATATATATATATATATATATATATATATATATATATATATATATATAATACTTGTAAGTTGAATAAATACAAAATTCAGAGTTATTTAACATTAAGGAGTAGTTGCATTTATTTTACATTACAATTTAGTTAAATTTAGCTACATTTATACTGTCTTACAGTTACATCTGTTGCTTTGAGGGCAACCATTATGTTGTTGTGGCCCTTGGTGGAAATTAGTTTGACACCTCTGGAGCTGATTCAGATTAACTGAAATCTATAAAGTAAACATAATTTATCGGTCCTTTTAATGGTAGATGTATATATCCATCACATGTCTCAACCTTCTACTGTTTACATTGGATGCATACCAATTTCAATTCAATTTTTTTCAATTCAATTCAATTCAATTCAGTTTATTTATATAGCGCCAAATCACAACAAAGTTGTCTCAGGGCACTTTACAGAAACATTCACATACATAAAAGCCAATTAGTAAAGTTCTCTATCTAAGGAATCCAGCAGACAAGATGAATCTTGGCTTCGATGCAGTCTCCCATCCTGAGCAAGCACAGTGGCAACAGTGGAAAGGAAAAACTCAATTTTTAAAAGGAAGGAACCTCCAACAGAACCAGGCTCAGGACAAGCGGCCATCTGCTTTGACCAGCTGGTTGAGAGGACAGGAAGGAGAGACAGCCAAACACAGAATGATAGGTCCAGGTATAGGTCCAGGTGTATCTGAAAGACAAAAAAACGCATGTTAAGGATAGAAAAAATAATTACAAATACAAAACAGGTTGAGCAGAGTAAGTAAAGACAGAAGTAGAGTGAAAATTGTGGTCAGTTTGTCCTTCAGCAGTCTAAGCCTATAGCAGCATAACTAAGGGACAGCTCAGGAAACCCAAGCCGACCCTAACTATAGGATTTAGAAAAAGGAAAGTCTTCAGCCTAGTTTTAAAACTGGATAATGTGTCAGCCTCACGGACATAGATTGGCAGTTGATTCCACAAGAGAGGAGCCTGATAACTAAAAGATCTGCCTCCCATTCTGTTTTTGTAAATTCTAGGAACCACAAGTAAACCTGCAGTCTGAGAGCAAAGTGCTCTGTTAGAAAAATATGGAACAATAAGATCTGTAATATAAGATGGAGCCAGGTTGTTGAGAGCTTTGTAGGTTAGAAGTAAAATTTTCAATTCAATTCTGGATTTGACAGGGAGCCAATGGAGAGAAACTAAAACTGGAGAAATATGATCTCTCCTACTAACTCCGGTTAAGACTCTGGCAGCAGCATTTTGGATCAACTGAAGACGTTTTAAAGAAGTATTTGGACATCCAGATAATAAACCATTACAATAGTCCAGTCTAGATGTGACAAATGCATGGACCAGTTTTTCTGCACCATTTTTAGATGTTTCTAATTTTAGTGATATTGTGCAGATGGAAGAAGGCAGTTCTAGTAACGTTTTTAATGTGGGGGATAAAAGACATGTCCTGATCAAAAATAACACCAAGATTTTTAACATTAGAGCTGGAGGACAGATTAAAGACTGAAAAATTAATTCCTAAGGTGCTCAGGTCCAAAAACCAAAACCTCAGTTTTGTCTGTGTTCAACAGGAGAAAATTAAGGGTCATCCAGGTTTTTATGTCTTTAAGACATGCTTGTAGTCTAAGTAGCTGATTGGATTCATTGGGTTTAATGGACAAATATAATTGTGTGTCATCAGCATAACAATGGAAATTTATCCCATGCTGTTTAGTAACTTTACCTAATGGAAGCATATATAAAGTAAAGAGTATTGGCCCAAGCACTGAGCCCTGAGGAACTCCATGACTATCCATGACCAATCCATCTATTATCTTTACCCACTTCTTCCTTTCTGTGTTTTGGGGATCACTGTTGATTGTCCAGCAGTAGAAAGGTGGGGGACACCCTGGACAGGTCTCCAGTTCATCACAGGGACACATAGAGACAAACAAAACAAACAACCATTCACTCTCTCACTCACACCTAGGGACAATTTAGAGTTACCAATCAGCCTAACATGCATGTTTTTGTTCTGAGGAGTGGGGGGGGGGG